GGAAACTGGGTTGGAAACGGTTGAAATGAAAGGTGATTGGTTGGAGGGTTCCTGCAAATTATTTGTTTGATTGTTTCCTTTCGTTTTACTTGAAGAATATAGAGATAAATTTTATATTAAAACAAGCAAAAACGTGAAGAGTTTGTAGTCTTTGATTGTCTACATTTATTTAATTAAACTTTGTTGAGTTCTCATCTGTAGGGCTGTGACCACATCTACATTTAGTCGACTAGGAAAAGGTGAGAGAGTCAAAAAAAGAGAAAAGTCATAATTCTAATTAATTAAGCTTCCTTTGTAGGATGGTCTCACTGGAAGAGAAAGATCTGGCTAAGAGATGCCATTGCCAGCTAGAGAATCTCATATTCTTAGTAAAAAACCAGCTGGGGTTTACGGGGAATGGTTCAAGGGAAATGTACAAATTAAAGCAAGTCATAAATGATGCAATTAAGGAGAATTTTGGGGATTTGGATCATTTTGGTAAGTAAAAAAGTGAAAACCCCTTTCCAAGCTATCTATGACCAGCCAAACCCCAATCTCAAACTTCTCCCTTTCACCCATGAATATGGTTTTTTTAGGAGTTTTTCTGGTAGATTTTCAAGTTGGTTCGGAAAGTCTTCAGTTTCAAGTAAAGTGGTTCACCAAGAACAATAATTTGTTTATGGACCTCATCATCTAGCTGGGGCAAAAGGGTTGCATCAGAATAATTTCTTATCCTAAAATTAACTATATGAATCATAATTAAGAAGTCTCCAATGCAGAAGCTTAAGTTCAACGCACTTGGTCATTAAGTGTAGTATCTTTATTGTGCTTTGAATTTGTATTAATTGTCAGGCTGGTGTCGAACAAGGTATATATAGATGTTACCAGAATAAACCTTCCCCAGGATTTATTCCACTTTTTCTAACCACCGCCGCTCACTCCCTTCATCTAAAAGAATCACACTATTCCCGTAATTATATTAATAAAAACTCGAATAATATCTTTCTTCCTGCACGAAATTCTATCCAAAAACGACCGTTCACTATATTATCAATTTTGTACTGTTTTTTCCAAGGTTTTCTGATCTTTGAATGGATTCAGGTTGCGAGTTGGGGAGCTTACCTTCTATCAAGGAACATCCTAGCAGTGTCATTTGCACCAAGAGACACCCATGAAGCTCAGGTGCAGTTTGCTCTTGAAAGAGGAGTGCCTGCATTGATCGGAGTTCTTGCCTCTATTAGGCTCCCTTACCCGTCAAGAGCTTTCGACATGGCTCATTGCTCTCGATGCCTCATCCCTTGGGGGCAGTATGGTAAAACCTTGGCCCTTCAATTTAACGCTCTGCTGGTTATTATTATTTCATTGTCTTCGCTTGAGTACTTCGAACTGCTTTATTAATTTTTATTTATGTTCGGTGCAGATGGGCTTTACTTAATTGAAGTTGATAGAATTCTACGTCCTGGTGGTTATTGGATTCTATCTGGACCACCAATTAACTGGGAAAGTCATTGGAAAGGTTGGAATAGGACACGGGATGACCTGAGAGCAGAACAAAACCTGATCGAGACTGTGGCTAGAAGCCTCTGCTGGAAAAAACTTGTACAGAAGGATGACCTTGCCATTTGGCAAAAACCCACTAATCATATCCATTGTAGAGCTAACAGGAAGGTTTTCAAGCAGCCACGCTTTTGCCAGACTCAAAATCCTGACATGGCATGGTGAGATAATTGTCTTCAATTTTTGCAATGCAACATTTTTTGAAAAATTTTAGTTCAGGAATCTTTCACACTATCCAAACTTTTGCTTAGAGATTGACTTCTGATTGGAGAAAAGAATTACTTTCCAACATCAGAAAGCAAATTCTTCCCACTGCCACAGACCACTTTGGCAGTGATACCAAAACCAATTGAATGATAAAGCGATTGTCCACTTGAATCATCTCTGAAGCATAACCCTTTTCGCTGGTTAAAGTGTTCAACTGCTTAAATTTCAAAAAAAAAAAAAAAACCTATTCAACGACTTTTTTGTTTCCTGCCCAGCATCAATCTTTTTCAGTTCATTTTTTTCTAACCACCATCCACCAAAAGCTTTTACCTAAAAAATCTTATATTTTTCTGGCGCAGGTACACAAAATTAGAGACTTGTTTAACCCCACTGCCTGAAGTATCCAATATTAAGGAAATAGCTGGTAGGCAACTAGCAAAATGGCCCGAGAGGCTGAATGCAATCCCTCCAAGGATCAGCAGTGGAAGCTTGACAGGAATCACAGAAAAAACGTTTGTAGAAAACACAGAACTATGGAAGAAGAGGGTAGAATATTATAAGAGAGTAGACCATCAGCTGGCAGAGACGGGGAGGTACCGGAACTTGTTGGATATGAATGCTCATCTGGGAGGCTTCGCCGCAGCTCTTGTCGATGATCCTGTCTGGACCATGAACGTTGTCCCCATCGAGGCTGAGATCAACACTCTTGGAGCCGTCTATGAACGTGGATTGATCGGAACATATCAAAGCTGGTGCCAGGCAATGTCCACTTATCCTAGGACCTACGATTTTATTCACGCTGATTCTATCTTCAGCCTCTACCAAGACAGGTGCACATATATAAATAAAAGTCAAAACCCACTTTATTATTTCATTAATTAATCATTATGAGGCACTAATTGGTTTTATATGACAGATGTGAAATGGAGGATATACTTCTAGAAATGGATAGGATTTTACGACCAGAAGGCAGTGTGATCATCAGAGACGACGTGGATGTCTTGGTGAAGATCAAGAACATCATAGATGTTATGCAATGGGATGGAAGAATTGTAGACCATGAGGACGGACCCCATGAGAGAGAGAAGATTCTTTTTGCAGTTAAGCAATATTGGACCGCTCCTGCACCTGAACAAAGCCAACAAGGAATTAAAACAATTTCATAGAGATAATTGTTACTATTTTTTGGGCTTACACCTCATTTTTTTTCCCTACCGCAACATGTCGGTTGAATAGGTTTATTTTTACAAAAGAAAAAACTTTATGGCTCTATTCTTGTCCCTTCTACAGTTGGATATATGATAATTTTCCATTGTCTAAGGTGTGCGACGGATGGTTCTTGTAATATATATATATATATATGTATATATATTGGTTTATGTTTGTCCTTTCCCCTCGGTTCATGGCTTGTTTCTAACTGAGATCAAACCAAACCAAAGATTTAAGGAATTGGGGGTTCTTATTCAACATGTCAGACGTAAGAATATAAGAAGATAAATTCAAGGCTACCTTGATAACTTTCTTGTTCAATCCCCGGTATCAATTTCAACAGGACAAGGTAAATTTCTCGAAGTCAGGGTATCTGGGCAAACGCTACATTCTCACAGAAAAAATAAAAGTCGAACAGTCAACGCTATATGAACTCCAGAAACAAAGCTTCCTGTTTGCCTGTCAGGCCAAGTTGATTCAAACTTAAAGAGCAGTCATTCAAACTTAAAGCATGGCGAGGGTATGGCCTTACCTGTTCATCAAACAGAAGCGAGCAACAAAGTAAGAATATATACAATTAGTAGCTCAGCATCACAGGGTAAAATCCATTCCATGCTGAGCAACGGGTTGTTATTATTTAGTTTGACAGCAACTCTAGTTGAGCTTCTGGTTAGTCGGCCACCTTTCCAAAGATCTTTCATGTATTTGTTATTATTATTTACTAATTTAAAATAACAACTAAATGGAGATGAATTAAAAAGGGAACTTCATGGATGAAGAATAAGATAATTGTCTCGAATCACCACGTAAAGAAATTGACAGAATAAGATACAATCATTTATCAAAATAATTTTTAAAAAAAAAAGTCATCATCATCACATAACTATGAAAGATACAGCAAATAATTCAAGATGACGAGGGCTGCAGGTCTTACTTGGGATACTAGAAGAAAGGAAATTTAGGTAGCACTCACCAGTCTGTAAGTGACGGGCTTCACTACTTTACTAATATCTATGAAGTCAAAAAGAAGCTACAAAGGAATAAAACCAGAATCAGCATAGCAAATTAATGTATCTTAAACTTTTAAATGTAAAAAAATTTACCTGGAGCTTGTCTGACTTGAGAAAGCGACGTCCATGGCAGGTGCCATCTGGCAGCCTAACAAGTATAGTTACTGCATCCTCATCATTTACAGCTGGCTCAGGTGGAAGTGAAGTCTCCTTTGCAGACATTTCAGATTCCTGCCCTCAGTGAAATACAGAAGTCAGGAGCCTAATTATGTAATTCACAATCCAAAACGAGGTCAATCTGTAACCAGGATAATCTTTTTAAATTTAAACAGAAGGAGATTATCCATGTTTAGAGCAGCATTTCATTTCCTTGACTGCAAAAATCATGTAAACAGACCATTTCATCCGGCACCAAACTACTAAATGACATGCAATTCTAAGAACTTCACTATCTAAACAATTCATGTCTTTAAAACAAACGAAAAAAAAAAAAAAGCATCAACATTATCTGAATTCCTATCGCTCTTTACACTGTTTATTCAGATACAATCCTATTAAATTTCTCAATGATAGACACAGCAATAATTCATTTGAAAAACAGATGCATTAAATTAGTTGTAAAATGAAGTCAATCACAAAGCAGATAACACAAAGGCGAAACAGCTCAAATAACCTTTCAACTTTAAGTTAATCGCAAATTGATTTGCGTTGAGAGACAGCCCCACTGTCAGTAAATCAGCAGGCGCATAAAATATATCCAAATCATTTTTGTGGTTGACTAATTGTTAACTTCAGTTGCAGGTCAGCTGATTGGAATAAACGTGTAGATAATCTAGGAAGAGTAAAGTCAATCTTTGGATAAAGTTTTTATTGTGAATTGAAAATGTTTCTTCTTGCAGGCATCTATCTCATACAAGAATCACAAATAACAAATAGAATTTAAAAAACCAAGGAGTAATCAAGAATATTAAATACCACTGTACTGTGCATAAGGAGGTGAAATAAAAAATTTCAATATAAAATGAAAGAACAGAGCTTTGCAAAAATTGGCCATGTCACTCAGAAACACCAATAATAAAAAATATATAACCTTTCCTCCAAGCTTCCTTTTGGATGATTTTTCTTCTTTCAAACTATGACTTTCAGCTTTCTTGAGAGAATTCATTTCCTTTTCTTTATCAGCCAAAAGGGACGCCAGATACTCATCATCCTGCAAGGGAAATGTTACCAATTCGTCAGAGGTAATACAATCATCATACAGGGTATAGAAGGAGTCATCTTAAACCTGCTGTTGCCGCAATAAATGCCGTTCCATTAACGAGAATGATTGTGGATGAGATAGAGCCTGTGGACCAGGATCAACACTTGCACCTGGACTACTTTGCTCATGGGATAGATTGGAAGAACGATATGAAGCACCTTCAGGAATCTGGCTAAAAAGTTGGGTCTCCAGCATAATTGCTTGATCAAGTTCTTCTGATGAAATACCTCCCCACTTCAATGTTCACAGAAAAGATGCAATGAATGTAATTAGTAAAACAGGAACATGGTCCTTTGCTTCAGAAGCAGAAAATTTTATGTTATTACCAGTTAATAATACCTCTATAGAATTAAAGGAATCTTTACTGTGCCGTACACGATTAAGAGGAGTATCATGGCTGGAATCATGATTCGCTGGTAGTTGTCTAAGTGATGAGTTTCCTGCCTTCAATTGGGAACAGCCTCTTATTAAGGAGGAAAAGATGCTTTATGAGAAACCAGAAGCACAAAAGACAATTGTCTGGAGAATTTGAAACTTTTCTTTTCTTATCGCCCCAAAGAGTCATGATATTCACTTTAGGCCCAATCAGCTAAAATTCAGCCCCAAAAGTCTGAGGAAAGCTTCCACTAAATGTCAACATTAGTTTCAATAAATACATTCTACTGCATTCTCAACAGCCACAGATCAATGTGCTTCTGAGAATGTGCTTGTTTATGCAGCAATTTTATTTGTAACAAACAAAAACAGAAACAGAAAAAAGAAACCTTCAAGCTGTTATTGGTTGTTGCCTGAGTCCTTGCACTTGAATCATATATTCCCACTTGCTCATAATGATCCTTCATGACACGTACGGCTTTCTCTTCATCTGCTGTCTGAACTAAATTCATGTTAGAGAGAACCCAGGACCAAAAGACAAGGAAATCAAATCATGAAAACAAAGGAAAGATGCACGAACCTTCAAAGACAATGAAATTGCACGAGCAAGCTCATCATCTTCTTGCTGAAGTCGGCTCTGTTGAAGCCCAGCTCTAGATGAATTCTGCATCAAAGAAAAATGGGAAGTAAGAATCTAAGAAAACCATAGGAAGAACCGGATATTTTGTCCATATGGGTGTGTACATAGGAAGAACCATGTTGCTCATTCATATGAGTCTGTTCAAACTCCCGCTTAGAAGCCTCAATTGCAGCTTGCATCATTTCACATTCTATATCATTCGGATGTTGATGATCATCACTAGAGACATTCCCATAAATTCCCCCTCCATAATACGATGGTGGTCCTGTTGAATCTGTGATGGCTGGTCTTACTCCCGAATGCAGAGGATGCTCATTTCCGCTGTTGAACCCTACAGGGACCCCTGTCACCTCTCCCATATGAGGAGATGTCACATGGTGATTGAAGTTAGAAGCACCACTCCCGTTAAGCAAATTCCTCCTGTAATTGGCGTCAAGCAGTAACGAAGGCCTAAATCTTCTGACAGCAGAGATGAATGGAACAATTCCACGCATTCCAACTCCATTCTGATTGTTCATATCAACAGAATTATTTTGAGAAGGCACGGCATATGTCGGGTTTGTACTGAACATGAGTGCACCAGATCAAGAAAAAAGAAAAAGAAAGAAAAGTTATCGAAAGAAAGACCAAACAGCACAAAAAAAAAAGTTAATACTTATAGAATAATTATAAATGAAAAGAAAGAGGCTTGTGAAACAAAGGAACAAAGCATACATGCTTCTTTCCAATTCAAGAAAATGTGCACTAACAGCTGCATTTAAATTGCCTCCATACTCCTGTTTACCAATCAAAACATTTAGTCAGTATAAATTGAACTTAGCAATTTCAGGCTCAAATTTATGCAGGATTATAATTATAAAAAATCAGAATAATTATGAAACCATACCTATCACATTGAAAAACATACTAATACATAATTCCTACTTTCAAATAAACTGGAAAACCCTAGAAATGGCATTCGAAAGCTTTATTTTCCACATTACGCATTGCATTACGAAACTGAGTTGCTTGATTATCAGGACGCCTAGTTAAAATGTAAAAGTCCTAAAAAGATGGTGATTCTTGATCTCGAAAATCAGTAAAGTGAAAATTGGAATTTACAGAAACATACCTCTAATTTTCGTAAAGCGACTGAATCAGACGCGCCGGTTATGCTCTTGAAACTCTCGATCGAATCTCGCGTCGGCGTCGACATTGCTGTCGATTTGTCAATCTTCTTTTCAAAGTAAATTGAACAGAGAAAAAGAAAAAGAGAGAGAGAGCGAAAAAAGAAAAAGAAGACAAAAGGACAGCGAATGGGAAAGGGCGGATGCGATCCGCAAACATTTTTTTTTTAATTTTATACATATTTCGGTGGGTGAATGATTGACATTCGCGCCTTTCTTCAACATTTGTTTGAATGATTTCACATTGGTCCACGTAGATATATTTTTTTACACGTGTACGTTCTTGTGTACAGGCCTACAGGCCCAGTTAGGAGAGATCTGGGCTTCACTTTCGTTATTGTGGGCCACTATTGCAGAGAAAAAACATGGGCCATGCTTTGAAGTTTTTGATTTAGAGTCGGCCCAACCTATTTTAAACTATATATATATATATATTCTTTTAATTATTTAACAACATTTTATTGTTGGCTAATTTGAATTAATAAGAGAGTGAATGAAATTTGATTTGATATTTTCTTGTATAATATAGTTGGAGACTTTAATAATAATAATAACTCTTTTTAAAAAATTATTGAACGGGAAAGAAAGGAAAAAGTCAGCTTTCTATGTTGCAAATTAAATCGAGTATGAATTGAAAATAAAAGGACGTCGTACCAATGAAATTAGGGGGCAATGGTTGAGTTTTGTTAAAATTGTACCGATATTAGAACTTGGTCAAGATATAAAGATAACTTGCATTAAAGAGTTTGGGCCTTTGTGTTAATATCTTCTCGGAGTCAATAAGATTTCTGGGCTAACATTTCTTATATATTTAATTATGAGATTAGTATTAATTGGGTTCTACTTAATTAATATGTTGGGAACAAAAGAAATCTTCTTGAAACTACCTATTTTTTATTTTCTTTTATTCCTTGTTCTGACAAAAGCATCCTTTTCTTGAATTTTTACCGGTCAAAGGAGAAGAACCGAGAGAGTATGCTATGCGCTCACTGACTTGCTGCTTGCTTTCTTTGATGAGCGAAGGGCAATGCCAGTCAATAGATACCCAGACTCGTACAGATCTGAGTTCAATCAATCATACATGATAGGAGAGAAACCGTCTGATTTAGAAGGAAGGGTTGCGGTAGATATTATGTCTTCTAAAATAAAACAAAATAAACATTTGTAATTTGGCATCACCAATTGAATATAAATCAGATTTTAGAATTGGTAATTTAATGTGATTTATGTTGTTTGTTTTATTTTCTTTATGAAAAAGAATAAAATAAGACATTTATATCATGAGAATAAAAATCTTATAACATCATTTAATAAAATTGAAGAATCATTGTAAAGAGAATTTTTGAAAAGTATCATAACAATAAGATATTGAACAGTGATATTTGTAAAAAAATCTATCAAATAATAATATTTATGATACACATGAACGAAACTATCTTATTATTTATTCTTTAATATATCTTTAAAAGTTAAAATTAAATCTAACATTTTGATTCATCTAATTCCATTTGAATTATCTATGTAACAATTTTATTATTTATAATTAATATCATCTTATGACATCCCTCATCTCATGTCATCAACAAACACCCATAAACATTTCATAATTCTGTTTAATATGTAGAATAGTTTCTGAATTTGATCAAAAAATTACGTTTTCGATTCCTAAAATGATCATGAAAAAACACCTCCTATAGTGAATTGATGTGATAAAACTCAATGACTTCTATCAATGATGAGTAGCACCCAATCTTAAGGTGGCAAAGACAATGCAATCAAGGAGATCTATTGACACCAACATTTGTAGGAATAAAGTTTGACTAAAAAAGAACAGTATTTCAAGAAACTTTTTAATCAGGATAATTTTTTATAATAATTTTATAAATTTTTATTTATATATTATATAAAAACAATAAAAAATGAACCTTCGAATATTTTAAAAAATTTTCTTATATTCTATACAAAACTTGTCTAACTCAATTGTGCAGATTAAAAGTGTGTACAAAACTTTTTTTTTTTTTGTTTGTTGTATTATATTCCGGGACAGATCTACATATTAGCCGTAGGTGGGTCCTTTGGGTTAACATCTATACGATTTGTTAGGTTAATCTCATTAAATAAAAGGAAACTTACCTAACTTGCTTTTTTTTTTCAAAAAAAAAGTTAATACTATTAATAGAATTAATCAAAATATTATTAAGCTTTACTTTGGGTCACTATTCTAAATTAAAAAGGGAGAAAATAAATACGGGTGAGGCAATATTGCCCCTACTGGAATTTTAAAAGAAACTTAATACTATAGATAGAGCGGTCCCAAAATTTATTAAATTAATGTTTGTATTTATTATTAAATTGAAACATTTCGAAGATAATTTGCTAAAGATATTTTTATTATCAATTACAATAAAAAAAGAGATTGTTGATAATCATGTTTGTTTACCTATATAAGATTATGAGGAGGCACTTATGGTTGCATGTGAATAGAATAGACAGCAACATCTAAAGATGTTGGAGCTGGTTGTTCTTTGCCTTGTATCTTTGCTTGTTGTTTGGTTTTGCATTTGGCAAAATCCCAAGTGCAATGGAAAACTCCCACCGGGATCCATGGGCTTCCCCATCATCGGTGAGACCGTGGAGTACTTCTCTCCTTATTCATTACTTGAGATTTCGCCATTTATGAAGAAAAGAATTGCCAGGTTACGTACCATGTTTACTCTTTCATCTATAGTAATAAAGAATATCGATAATTGAATTGATATCACGAATTAACCGGCACTGATTGAATTAGTATAATCTTTGTCTCCAGATATGGGCCAATGTTCCGAACAAGTCTTGCCGGCCAGAAGGTGGTTATGGTAACTGATCCCGAGTTAATCTCTAGCATGCTCAAACAAGAAATTATGCCCCCTATTCAATGGTTTACTCAGTATAGTGTCAAAGCCAGTGGAGAAGACCAATTTGTTCTCAGTGCCAGTTTTCACAGGTATCTCAGGAGCTTTTTCATGCACCAACTTAGCCCCGAAAGCCTCATGACTGGTGAGTCGATTCGCGAGATAGAGCAGGCGACTCGCAGACATCTAAATTGGTGGGCTACCCAAGGCGCCATTGATGCCAGACAAGTTGCAAAAAAAGTAGACGTATCAATTATTTCAAGTTCTACTAGAAAAACAAAAGGTTGACAGTACTGTACAAGTTTTAGCTAATCCTTTTTACTTTGATTAACATTGGCAGATGGTAACCGAATACGTCGCTAAGAAAATCGGTTATGATGAACCAGATGCCGCAGAGAGACTTGGTGAGAATGTCAGAGCGTTCGTGGATAAGAGGACATCATTAATTCCTTTGAACATCCCAGGAACTGCTTATCATGCAGGATTAAAGGTTTACTTTCCCTGATATAAACCATCTGAATTGGTCATCCTACTTAGTAAGTTTCCCTAACATTCGAATTCAATTCAATCAGGCAAGTAAAAATCTTATGAAGCTGATTGATGAAACCTTTGAGAAGAGGAAAGCATCAAAGATAAATCATCATCAGACTTTTGTGGATCATTTACTTGAGGAATTGAACAAAGGAGACACCGGTTTGGATGAAGCAATGGCCAGAGACTTGGTCCTTGTATTTATAATAACAACCTCTGAAGCTATCACTTTGTCCATCACATTAGCGATGAAGCTAATTGCCGATCATCCCAAAGTGCTAGCTGAATTAACGGTATGCATACATTATTATAAATGGTTTAGGCATTACACTGGAAAAACAGGGCTGCACCCAGCCTCACTGCATCAAAATCAAAAGCACAGAGCTTACAGAACTTGAAGCAAAGAAAACTAAGTCCCTTTAACATAGTCAAGAATATGAATAATAATTTTCCTTGTTCATTCCACCACTTTAAACAACAATTGTGTAATTCAGAAAGAGCACGAGGCTGTTATTGAGAGCCGGGTCGAAGACAATAAGGAGCTTGAAATCACGTGGGAAGAATATAAATCCATGGAGTTCACTCACATGGTAAAACTAACTTCTTTTAATTAAGCTTTTTGAAATCCGTGTAACGTTCTCATAGCAATTCCTTGGTTGGCGTTCTCAGGTTATCAATGAAATGCTTAGGGTAGGAAATCTGCTCCCAATTCTTTCCAGAAAACTTCCAAAGGACGTCGACATAAATGGTAAGTTCGAATATATATCTGCTTTGCAACTTGCAGGATGGATCATCTCTCTATAAAATGAAAAGGAAGCATACATATATATATATATATATATATATATTCCTTAATTAATTGTTTAATTGGAATTGATTGTGCCTTTTTTGCAGGGTATACAATTCCAGCAGGTTGGTTTTTAGTAGCTGATCAAACTGTACTTCATTTTGATCCTAATTATTTTCATGAGCCGTTTGCCTTTAATCCATGGAGATGGGAGGTAATCCAATTGAAATATGGCCTTTATTGCTTCTCGGCAGCTTAATTAATTTTGTTAATTTAATTATAGAAGGAATGATTGTTAATTATAAAATTTTCATATAAGACAAATTAGGAGTATTTTGAAAATTTAAATATAACAGGAATTTCTTCATTTATACTCATTTTAAAAATTCAACATGACTCGAACAAGTAATAAAAAACATTCACATCTCTTACAGCAGTAATATCTTGAAAACTTAAATATAATAAAAAAAATTATCTATTATCTATTAAATATCTGTCTTCAGAATTCAAGAAATGACGGCATCTTAACCTTTCTTTCCTTTAAAAATAAAATGGAGATGGGAACAGGGAAAAAAGGGGCATGCGGGAACTAAAACCTTCATGCCTTTTGGTGGAGGAGCAGGATTCTGCGTTGGAGCCACATTTGGAAAGCTTCAGATTGCAATTTTTCTGCATCACCTGGTCACCAAATACAAGTATGGAAACCATATGCTACCCATTTGATCAATATCCGGTTCCTCCCAATTTTATGTCTCTGAAATTTCAGGTGGTCGGAGATAAAAGGAAATGACATCATTCGGCGTCCAGTTTTAAGCTTTCCGAATGGATTCCTCCTAGAGTTTTCAAAACGAAAATGAAAATGATAGTTGAAGACCTTGGAGCAAGATGCCATATACTATAAAGGCTCATTCGTGGGAGAATAACAATGTAATATTGCTTTTCGACTTTGATTTCCAAGTTCAAGGACCTTTTTCCATGGTTTGGGACATCGGAACTTGGAAGAAAAATATCATGAACATGAAATGGCATGTAATTTAGAAAATAAAAAATAGTATTGTCTATCTCAACAATCAGGATTACACCGTCAATTTTATATAGTAAAATTATAATAATAATTTAAAAATTTGCATATATATATATATTAATTTTCGAATGAAAGTCATTTTGATAATTTATACTCAGTGGAGTGCCGACGTGAGTACTGGAGAAGACCAATTTGTTCTCCGTGCCAGTTTTCACAAGTTTCTCAGGAGCTTTTTCCTGCACCAACTTAGCCCCAAAAGACTCATGAATGGTGAGTCGATTCGCGAAATAGACCAGGCGACTCGCAGACATCTAGATTTGTGGGCTGCCCAAGGTGCCATTGATGCCAGACAAGTTGCTGGAAAGGTATACGTATCAATTACTTCAAGTTCTAAGCAAAAAACACACGGTTGGGAAGAGGAAGGCGTCAAAGATAAATCGTCACCATAGTTTTGTGGATCATTTACTTGAGGAACTGAAGAAAGAAAACACAGTTTTGGATGAAGCATTTGCCAGAGACTTGGTCCTTTTGTTCATAACAACCGCCTCTGAAAGTACCATTTTGGCCATCTCATTAGCGATGAAGATCATTGCCGATCATCCCAAAGTGCTAGCTGTATAATAAAAGGGGAATATACATTTTATTAATCTTGAAACTTACTTTCTTATATCAATCTCACCTCTTAAGTCTTAATTAATATACCTATTTAGGGCGTGACAAAATAAAAATGAAGTTTTAGTTACTTATTTTTTCATAAAACGAAGATTGAATCATGAAACGACGTCGTTGAATATGGGAGCAAACGCTATAAGAGGTCACGTGCCAACCCAGTCCCTGTCTTCAGCTACTCCATCACTTCTACTGTGAAACGCTAAAGCAGTTCACAACGAGACAAACCCTAACCCTAAAATCCCTAAAATTCCCATCTCCTTCCTCTTCTTTTTTTTATTTCATTTTTTTCTTTCGTAATGGATGGTGAAGACGACGCTTCAAATCCAATGATGGAGGAGATGTACGCCAACGGCATCGGCGGCGTCGACGAAACGCCGTCGTCTTCATCATCAACAACCACGCGGAAGAACCGGCCCATCATAAGCGGCGAACAGCTGGATGTCGAGGCGTACGCTGGGCTTTATACGGGCCGCACGAAGATCATGCGGCTCATATTCATCGCCGACCACTGCGACAATCCCGGGATGCAATTGGAAGCCCTCAGGATGGCTTACGAAGAAATCAAGAAGGGGGAGAACACGCAGCTTTTCCGTGAAGCGGTTCAGAAGATCGACGGTCGATTAGGCCCCAACTATATGATGGATGCTGCGTGGTGTACTATGATTGATAAAAAAGCCGAGCAGAGGAAGGAAAAGCTCGAAAACGAACTCAATGCTTATAGGGTAATTTACTTTATTTTACTTAAATTATGTTGCAAAAACTGTTAACGGTTTGTTTGTTCTTTGTTTGATTTTCATTTAGTTTTTTTTTAAAATTTTCAGACGAATTTAATTAAAGAAAGTATAAGAATGGGATACAATGATTTTGGAGATTTTTACTATGCTCATGGTGCATTGGGTGACGCTTTTAAAAGCTATGTTCGAACTCGCGATTATTGTACTACGTCAAAGCATATAATTCAGATGTGTTTGAGTGCAATTCTTGTGAGCATTGAGATGGGTCAATTTACTCATGTGACAAGCTACGTTAGTAAGGCTGAGCAAACACCCGAGGCTCTTGACCCTCCCACTGTTGCTAAGCTACGGTGTGCTGCTGGGTTGGCTCATTTGGAAGCTAAAAAGTACAAGCTTGCTGCTCGTAAGGTTTGTCTGCTTATATAATGTAATTATGGATAACTCAGATGCTGCTTGTTTGTCTTTTATTTCTGTGTGCTTTAGGATTATATCACGCACTATCTTTTATTTGCAAGGTGTGATGAATTTGATATGGGTGATATGTGTAGAAGTTAACTGTAGTTACTTATGATTTATTTGGCTATGGTATGGGCGTGTATCTCTAAATAGGGGTGGTTATTCTTGAAAGTCTGTTGACAGGGTGAAGGATCCTTTATGCTACATATAATGGATCTTGTTCCATTTCTTGTCCTTTACCAAGTCATTGTGTAATACTCAAGCTCCAAGGCTAGTCAAGCCACACAATCTTGTTTTGCGTCTCATCCTTTGAGCTCCAAAATAAGCTTGAGTTGAGCTTGAGCCCAGTAAGTTTTTTACGAGCCAAGTTCAAGAAATCTACAATTCACACTGCACTTCTAAAAGGAAAGCATGAGATCTTCCTGTAGGTTGTGTTGGGGTAGTATATTATGGTAGAAAACTTATGTCATTTAGCTATTTGAATACACTCGAAAGAAAATGGTAATGGAGTATAATTGTTGTGTTCATCGATGGTTTATCTGAAGCAGTCCTAAAATTATGCTGGTTTAATTAATATAGAGTTTGCTTGTACTGCTTGTTAATGAGGGTTTCTTTCATTGGTTAATTTGAGAATGATTCTCTCTATACTGCTGCATTTTGAAAAATTACCATTTCATTGCGGGATTGATTGTCTTTTCTGTGGATGCAGTTTTTGGAAGTGGGTCCAGAATTGGGAAATACATACAGTGAGGTGATTGCTCCTCAAGATGTTGCTACTTATGGTGGGCTTTGTGCACTTGCAAGCTTTGATCGAACTGAGCTGAAGGCATCTATTCTGCCCCTATTTCCCTCCCTCATCCTTTATCTGCCAGTCATGTCTTACGGTTGTTTGATAGATTTCTTAGTCATTGACTGCTTTCACTTTGCAGAACAAAGTTATAGACAATATCAACTTCCGGAATTTCTTGGAGTTGGTACCTGAAGTAAGGGAGCTTATTAATGATTTTTACTCAAGGTATTTTATCTTCATGTTATTGTCTGTCTACAATCATGAGAATGAATTCTGTGACATTATTGGATTTTGTTAGACCTGTTTGGTTTATGATTTGGCTTCTTGCTTGATGCAAAAAATAGAAGGAAATAGTACGAGGGAGGATTTCAAGTGTGTTTTGTGCTGTCATTAATAGCTATGAGCAATAACATGCATTTATCCGTATTCTTTAATTTTCTTGTATTCAATTTTCTTTGGTTAATAGTAGCCAACATCAAACCTGAAAACTTGTGACTCGGGATTTCAGAAAGTTCTTATGTGTGATCTTTCTCATTTAATGAGAAGCACATATTCTTGGTCTGGTGGGTTACATTTTAACTCTATTTATTTCCTCCTTTATTGCAGCCATTATGCTTCCTGCTTAGAATATCTTGGAAACCTCAAATCAAACCTGTTGCTTGACATCCATTTACATGACCATGTTGGGACCCTCTATGATCAAATTCGGAACAAGGCCCTCATCCAGTATACCCACCCATTTGTGTCTGTTGATATGCGAATGATGGCTGATGCCTTTAAAACAAGTGTTGCAGGACTAGAGAAAGAACTGGAAGCCTTGATTACTGACAACCAGATACAGGTATTGTTTTGCACTAGTAGTTTGCTTTCATAAGTTTTGACTGTGTGCGGGCACATGTTTTTGTGTCTAGTTTTTTAAGTGCCTGTTTGGCTTAGTATTTTTTCAGCTTATCTGCTTCTTCAAAGTAGAAGCTAGGTCAAATAGTGATTTTGAGAAGTTCTTTAAAAAAAATAATAATAATTTTTTTTAAGACAATTTTAAAAAATAGAGCTTGAATTTTCTTTTCTATTTTTTTTTTAAAAACATGCCTTCTTTTCAAAAGAATTTTTCTTTTGTTTCAAAAAATCCTCTTCTATTAAAAATAGTTCCAACATTATCCATTCTCATTTTTATATGATTTATTATTAATTATAAAGTTTATGTTATATAAAAAATACTTTTTTATATTTATGATTTTTTTTTAAATAAATAAAAAAATAAAGTTTACTTTTTTCTATTGTGAGCAAAGGAATTTGCAATTAATAAAAAGTTATTTATTAAATTCTCTTTATGGTAATTTTAACTAAAATTAGAATTTATATAAATTCTTTTACCAAACAAATTATCTATAAAAAAGAGCTTATAAAGTAAATTTATCAAATAAATTTAACTTAATTTTAGAGGTTATTATTTTTCATAATAGTTTCGTAATAGCTTTTAAGCTAAAAAAAATCAGGCCAAACAGGCTCTAAATATTAGTCCCAAACCCAAATTGATTTGTTAATTAATCTATATTGTCTCAAGCGACCAATGAGTACAATTTGCCTATTTAGATTGAAAATGGTTTTTGACCTTTGGAATATGATCTATTTGTTAATTGAGAGGAAATAAAGTGAATTACCTAATGTCTCCACCAGAACCTTCCCAAACAACGAGAATGGCTAGATGGGGAGAGTAAGAGTTAATCCTCGTTCATGCAGTAAATTCTTTGGGGGTGAAGTTAGCCATTTCTAATGTAGACAATTGGACTCATGCTAAAGTTCATAATGGGGTTTAGGTCTGAGTGTAGGCTACTTCATCTTTTCTTATGAAAATTATAACATTTCTGCAGGCTCGGATTGACTCGCACAACAAAATTCTTTATGCACGACATGCAGATCAAAGAAATGCAACTTTCCAGCGGGTTTTGCAGACTGGCAATGAATTTGATAAGGATGTTAGGGCAATGCTGCTGAGAGCAAATCTTCTCAAGCATGACTACAATGTTAGGGCTTCCAGGAAACTCTAAATTCTGGACTGAAGCATGACCAAGATTGTTTTGATAAGGTCTCTTATATTCCTGCGCCTGGATTCCTAATGTGCTGAAGTGCTATTGTGAGGTGTTTAAGGAAGATTGGCTATCCATGGTGGTGGATTGCATTTTGAGGATTTCAGGATACACTGTTTGTATATACTCAAAATTTATCTCATGAGTTTCAATTATTTGTTTTTCTTTACATTTTTTAAAAATTTATGTTCATGGTCCCTGTTCTTTTATTCGATTTAGATCGCTACCGTAACTCTTATATACAAACTGAATGGTGCAGTCTGATTGAAGCAAGCGTCTTTAGATTCTCTGAAGAGTATCTCATACTTGTTTTACCACTTGTGTTGCATTCATTGTTGATAAATTCCCAGCCGTTTTAGATTAATGCCTACATAGCATAGGCTGGGGATATGGGGGCTTGATTGTCTCTGATAAAGGCATGGCAAGAAACTCAAGACTCAAGAAGCCTCCCTCGTAGCTGCACTGCACATAACATCACTAGGCGGGCCTTCTCATTTATTTTGCCCTTGTTTCTCTGGTGTTATTCTCAAATCTTCTTAATCATTGAATGCCCTGAAGGCTTAAGGACAACCATTTCATGTTTGCATTATTGCACAGTCTTAGCCTTTTGCTGCTACAATAATAGAAGTTGGTAGCAGAATGAAGTAATGAAGCTACGTGAAGCTTGCTTTCATCTCTCACAATTAGCACCTGCAGCATAACACCAGAGAACACAGGTGGAAAGAAAAGCATATTTGCACCGTCCGGCGTCCATCATTGGTTGATCTCATTAATTAGACTAGTTTCTTCAGTCTGATCTTATGAATGCGTTTATATGGATTGACGCTTCTTGGTTTAGATAGTAAAAGCCCGAACCTGCGATGGCACCAATGAATCCAGATCGAAATATATTTGCAAATGTTCCTATAAATTGCCACTCTTTGTTCCCCGACAACGTTCCACGCAACCAAGTATTACAATTGTTCCCAAGGTTTCGGTTCCACCGGTGAGGCTACGCATTCGACCGCGTACGCCACGCCACTGGCTCCCACTGGCCACACCCATACACACTTACTTCCCCAAAGTTTTCCCCTACTTCTAGCACACTTCCTCTCCCTCCACGTTCCTCTCTGCAACGAAAGCTAAATCTACTCCACTCCCCAATCCGATAAAATCAACCCTTCATCCCAAAACTCATTTTCCACAAACCCTCCAACCCAATATTAGATCCACAACCAAAACCTTGGATGAACCACTAAAATTGAAATTTATGCATCAAAAGAAAGATCTCAGGAAAAAAAAAGATCTACATGGGCCATTTAAATCTCCAGCATCAAACGAAACCCAACGATGGAGCTTTTAGACATCATATCCACCATATTTTTCGGCCTGGTACCTTGTTCTTCCTGTTAGTGTTCACCCCTCTTGGGTTCTTGGCTGCCTCTGTAGGCAAGCCCTGCTGCTTTCCACATCGGCTCCAGGGCACGGCATCGGTTGTGGCCCTGGTGGAACTGGGCCACCACCACCAGCCCATCGAAGGCCTGCCCTGCTGATTCCGTTGATCATATGCCGTGTAGGACCGCCCGCGTAATAGCCAGCTGAGAGGAGATGAACTTTTACAGGGAAGGCAATGTCCTTTGCCTGATGAATGCCACTTTGCTTGATCCCTCCTCCTCTTGCTATAAGATTCCGTTCGGTGCCTGAAAGCTTGCACATGGTAGCCTTTTTTCTGTCTCTCTTTTTTTTTTTATTATTCAGAAACTGTGGTTTGTTGTGGGTTTTTCTTTAGAGATTATTAAACACAAAATTTGCTTAAAATTGCTCCTCATTGTTTGTTTCCACAATTATCTCCTTTTAGGAATGGAAGTAAATTATTAATTTTCTTAAAGAGTTTTTAATTTGTAATGGTTAGATATGGCTTCCAATATGCCACACACAAAATTGCTGATAGGAAAGGTCACCAGGATGGATGAAAGAGCAAGTCCTTACTTTATTTTCCCTGGTGGTGGAACAATGTTCCCTGATGGAGCAGCACCATATATCGAGAAACTTGGACAGTACATTCCAATAAGTGGTGGAACTCTAAGGACTGCCCTGGATATGGGATGCGGGGTAACTTGATATGTTACATACTAGAATTCTGTTATATGCTCATAGTTTCGTTTGTACTGTTTGAATACCATGCTTATTAATTCTTTTCCAGGTTGCAAGTTTTGGGGTTCATTGTTATCGGAAGGCCTTTTGACTCTCTCATTTGCTCCAAGAGTTCTCACAAGCACAATACAATTCGCATTGGAAAGGGGATACCTGCCTTTGTTCTAATGCTTGGCACTCGCAGACTCCCATTTCCTGCATTTGCATTTGACTTCATTCACTGCTCTCGATGCCTGATCCCTTTTTACCTTATAGTGGTTCTCTCTTTTTGTGTGTGTGTGTGTGGAGTGCCCTTGATATATTCTTATTTATATCTACCCTTTTTGTTTGGTCCTAATGTGAAGAAAATCGCTTTTGCAGATGCAACTTACTTTATTGAAGTGGACCGGTTACTTCGCCCAGGTGGATATTGGTCATCTCTGGACCCCCTGTACAGTGGCCTAAGCAAGATTAAGGAGTGGGCTGACCTCCAGGCTGTGGCAAGAGCATTGTGTTATGAGTTGATTGCTGTGGATGGAAACACAGTCATTTGGAAAAAGCCTGATGGAGATTCGTGTCTACCAAACCAAAACGAATTTGGGCTTGAGTTATGTGATGAATCAAATGACCCAAGTAATGCATGGTAATTGTCCTGGAAATCCTTAGTTTCATAGAGTCAAGAATTCTGACAAGGGTTTCCTTCTTTTTTCCTAAGAAATTTTCAGCCAAAATTGTCATGATTTTGCATCTAATTTAGCTTAGTTTCTGGTTGGCTATTGGTTTATTTATTGTTTCTAGAACATAAAATGTTATGTTGTTCTAAGGGGGTTTTTTTTTTTTTTGTTGGTAGGTACTTCAAGTTAAAAAGATGTGTGACTACAACGTCTTCTGTGAATGGAGAATATGCTGTTGGGACAATTCCGAAGTGGCCAGACAGGCTAAAAAGGGCTCCTTCAAGGGCCTTGGTCATGAAAAACGGGATTGATTTGTTTGAGGCAGACACAAGGCGTTGGGCAAGGAGAGTTGCCTATTATAAAAATACTTTGAACGTGAAGCTTGGGACTCCGGCAATACGCAATGTCATGGACATGAATGCATTTTTTGGAGGTTTTGCAGCAGCCCTCATATCTGATCCAGTGTGGGTGATGAATGTTGTTCCTGCTCGAAAGCCATTAACTCTTAGTGTTATATATGACAGAGGCCTTATTGGAGTATACCATGATTGGTGAGTAACTGTGGCATTTGTAGCCTTATTTACTGAAAATTCAAACAATTGTAAGTTTGAAAGCACAATTACACCTATGTGAATGGGACTACACGTGAAGGATGAAACACTCCCCATCCATATTGGTAGTTGGACCTACTCAGGGAGCTGATGGTAACTAAGAATTTGTTACCCATTTGATAAACAAGAGTATGCTGTAGCTCCTAGTCTTCTAATTTCTATGACAAACTTCTTTCCCGTGGAAATTCCATGTTCAGTCTTTTCTGCTCAAAGCAACAGCCCTGCTATCGCTTATTCCCTGTTGATTGAATATCCCATGGAAACTGTACAGGCATGTGATTTAGGTAGCTTTGTTAGATGAGTGATATTCAACTGGAGCAATGATTTTGTACAGGAGTGTTTTAACTTTCTAAGTAGATCCATGTTTAATCCTTATCCTCTAATCATTGTCATTTTTGCTTGTCTTTTTCTGGTGATGGTGAAATATACAGTGGTCTTATAGGGTTCTGATTAACTGATGTTCTAGAATTTTGTTTTCAGGTGTGAGCCTTTCTCAACATACCCCCGTACTTATGATCTCATCCACGTAGCTGGCATTGAATCACTAATAAAGCTTCCAGGTTCAAGCAAGAGCAGGTAGATATAACCTTTGACTTCATCCTTCAATTCTCTGTCCTTAGCTTTTCTTGAATTCTCTTAGTATGTGTATGAGCAATACAAGTTTCTTCCTCCTTTTGTTTTTGGAATGGGAGAACTTCACCAGTTACTTGAAAGTGGAAATATTTTAGTTGCATCTTCATTAAAATATTGCTTATCACAATAATTTCTGTGCTTAAACAAACCTTTTTATTTTTTTCTTTGTTTTTTTTCTTCTTTGAAGCTTCAACAGCGAAAGGCAATGCAAAAACGAAGCATAGAAAAGCAATCTTTGCACCTTTATATCCTATGATAGACTTTGCATGTATTGTCGCTATTGAATGGATTCATGCACCGTTACTGCATGGACCATACTCTGATTTTACTCTTTTGAGTAGTTTATCAACTCCGCTTTTGAGATCAAGCACCTTTAATCATCAACTCTAATGTTCCTGCAGGTGTACCCTTGTGGATCTAATGGTAGAGATAGACCGGATGTTGCGTCCAGAAGGAACAGTTGTGATCCGAGATTCTCCTGAAGTTTTAGACAAAGTGACTCGCATAGCTCATGCAGTAAGGTGGAAAGCTATCATGTATGACAAGGAACCTGAATCACACGGTAGAGAGAAAATTCTGGTTGCAACCAAAATCTTTTGGCAGCTAACTTCAGCATCCCATTGAGCGCCTTTGTTCTTTTTAATGTAGGTATTTTTCCTTTTCATTTCTTTTTTGATTATTATTTGAAGCCAAGTTGTCTTCTCCATGCATCAAGTAGGTGCAATCTTGTTACTTATTTGGTATATTTATATCAAGAAACTGTAGATTTAGAAAAGTATAAGAGACAAAATACTGCAGCTTTATGGTAGTACACACGTGTCAGTGGCAATGACAATTTCTGTTAGCAGTAAGAATCAATTGTAATTTGATGCCATTGATTGCCACTAACTTGGTGGTGCTCTGCATTAACCTCATCACTATGTCTAGTCCGTCCTGTGTGGTTTTGATTATTCATCCAAGGGAATATTATCCAGGAACCCTTTGGCAACTAGAACGCATGTTATTATAATAGGCCATGAATAATGATAATCTTTCCTGTCAAAGGACCATAGCCCTATACTTTTTCTTGCTCTGCCTCTCTAACTACTTAACCACATGGATGGCTGGAGATGCAGGAACAAGAGAGGGTTTAAGTTTTGGGAATAGAAGTATCATTTTCTACCACATGTTCATTACCCGAAACTAATTGTTCATGCGAGTCTTTTAACAGATGAGTAACTTTGTGAGCGTGTGGTTTATCCCCCTGTTCCCCTGGTCAAAATCAACATGCCAGATTTTGTGACATTGAACATGGATGTGACTTGTCTTAAATGGATTCTCTTGGTTTTGGCTTCAAGGAATGAATTTATTGTCCTGGGTATTCCTATCCGCACGCACTTTTATTTATTCACGTCACTTTTTTTTGGCCTCTTTTAATTATTCTTTAAATACTCCCCCATCAAATGGGGTTTCTCAATTATGGCTTATAAATTATAATTATGATGTGCTTGTTTCGCCCAAAAAACCAGTTTCTTGGTAATCTTCTTCTAAATTTTTAAGTTTTACTTGATCAAAAAGCACCATAAATTCACGAGATTGGTATAAGCCTTATACAATCATATGGGGATGGAATCACTTTGCCAGGCAATAACCAAAGAATTCGGTCAGAGAACAGTTGAAAGAAGAAAGGGGCCAAGATTTTCAATCCTTGAATCTTTGAAAAGTGAGCCGGTTGGCAAAAGAAATGCCTGTGGAAGTAGTCAACTAGAGAAGGCTGTTCCATTGATGTACCCAAAAAGTTTGAAGTCACGTTTCAATCTTCAATGGTTCAATTCAACATAATTGATTTTCTTCTTGTAACCTAGTCATTGAAAAACCAAAAAGGAGGGGGGTGGATATGAGGGCTAATATAAGTTAAAAAGGCCAATGGATCCCACATGAAGCTGCCAGTTGAAGAAACCGGGGGTGTGTGGGAGTGGGGGTGAAGGGGGACTGGAAACATAAATGCGAATGCTAATACAATTGCCCATCATTAGATTAATGCCTCCCCACTCTCAGGCAAATCAAGATCCAACTCCCACTATCTCCTAATACATTAATAATTCTGAATCAGACTGCAATTACGAACTTCTTGACAAGTGATAAAATTTTTATCCTAGTATATCCATTAATTGTAAGCATGTGTCCTTTAACTACCTCCTATAGTGTTTGAGCTTTCCTGTCAGTTGTGGCTTCATGGAAAACTTGGTTGAAGGATTAGTTCCTGCTATGAGCTCATAAATGTTGTTGTCAGCTGCCGATATTGCCATAACTCCATAGACAACTAAGCTTGGGAAGCCTGTCTTCATCAGGAATCCTGCAGCTTTCTGGAGCAACAAGTTAAAGCATGGGAGCAATGCTAGCTTCAACAATTATCCAACTTTAAAGCCCCATCTTCCCACTTCCACGTAGCACAAAAAATTTCTAGGCTCGTGCCCCCCCCCCCCAACCCCCCTCTCTCCCTCCCCCTAACGCCCCAAAGGAAAAAAGGAGAAGAGGGTCAAAGTTGTTGGCTAGCTAGGCTTACGTTAATGGAGTTGAATTCCAAAATGGGGGAAGGGACGTAATCTCAAGAGAAGTATGCATTGACCAAACTTTAATGAAGAAAAGCATAAGCATGAAACATATGTACGTAGATCCCTTGTCTCACAGTCTCAAAATCTAAGACGCGTATATATGTAATAATGCGTGTATCAGAAATACGCGTGAGTCGTGACAAAAATCTATTGAAAAGATACAAGGATATATATCTTTTCCAGGCAGATAAGAGACAGGATTACTCAGCTTGGAAGCTTTTCAAAGTTGGAAAATGAAAGGGTTATAAATATTTCAACTCTGGAAGGGCTTTTTCAGCTAAGGATAATTGTGGGGATCTGAGGGAGGAGGTGTTATAGCAACTGTTACTTTCTTTCCCGATAGCCTTTCTTATGTGGAAAGGAAAAGAGGCTCTCAAAAAGATCAAATGCTTTAAATGTAAACTTGAATGGTGATAGGCTGGAAAATGGGAGTAGCATTAATGCAGCGGTAAAAGAAGATAAGAGTGGAGAGGGGGGGGTGCTACTGTTTCCTGTGGACCTTTTGCCTAACTGTTGAAACAATAATATATATATATATATATATATATATAATATGAAAGAAATATGATAGCTTGATAGCTTTCTCCAAGTCTCTCAGGACTCTACTGCTGCTCTAAAATAATATTATAATAATTATATATATATATGGGCTCGTGGAATTGGTCTGATCTGAAGGACTTTAGATGGACAGGAAAATTAAAGATGTTACAACCTAATGAGAGTGAAAGGTCATGTGGGATGTGGGTCTGCCGATAGTAACACCCCTCCCCTCCCCTCCCCTCCCCTCCCTTACCCACCTCCATTCTCATCTGCCCTTTCCATATTTACTCCCTCTCTTCAATTTGCACCATTGCTTTTCGTCAACACTTTAAAACCAAATAACCTTGTTTGCCTTTTTGTGGGGGATTCAATTTTGCTGTACACTACTTTCCGTAGTTCTCCATTTCATTCGTCCTGGTCACAACAAATTCACTCCTAGTACTGTTCTTTTTCTGATACAAGACATCAATATTACTGTTCAAAACTTTTAAAAGAATTTTATCCAAATCTTTGCCTTGTATGAACGGAATTCCAATTTTTTGTGGTTTACAACAACAGATTCTTTTCTAAGTAGACTTAAAAACTGTTGTCAGACCCTACACACACGTATTAATTTATTCATCGAATAAAATTATTTTTTGTATTGTGTAATCTAACGTCATAACACGTCTACGTATGTTGTTTCGAAATTTAATACAGAGATTGTGTTGATGGGCATGAAATGATGTAAGAAGGGAATGGGTGCCGGTCGTTCGAGACTGTTTGAGGAGGACTAAGATGTAAGAGAATCTCTTAAGGGAGAGGGAGAGGTGATGTCTTTGTTTGTGCAGTTGTGCCTTGCGATTTTGGTTTGTGTCGGCAAAACATAGCATGTGGCCATCTAGACCAAGTCACGTAAAAGCGTGCAGGTACAACAACTAAGCCAGAAGCATTTAGCTTCAATCACTGGTTTGCTGAGCAATCTCTCCACCCTCCCCCTCCCCTACCCTTTTTAATTCTTCTCCACTCCTCTCCCTGCATCCTCCTTTGTCTCTCATCAAACCTTCCCAACCTTATCGGTAATGGAGGAAACTTAATGAAAACGACTAACATTAACAACTCATATTGTCTCCCTAGCAAGGGAGATCATCTGAACATGTCAAAAAAAGATAGTATACTCGAGTAATTACTCGTTGTCGGTATAATTATAAATTACTCGACTTCAAACCCTGATTATTGCTTAGTTATTTGTCCTATCGATAATCATAGGAAAGATTAAGCTTGAATTACGTTTCATCCAGTGGGTGAAGGAGAGTTTCTCTGTGGTGGGGGCATTTCTTTAGATAATTGATGAAAATAGGGCATTCAAGCTAACATTCAAGTCTCTTTATTGCCAAAATTTTGTTGCACAGTTGGCTATTTTTATTGAACCACCTCATGTGTACAATTAAATACCCCCCTCTAGGTTGTATCTTAATGAAGCCTATTAACTTGTTTGTTTAATTAATATTAAGCCATATGCATCAAAACCATATGGTAAGAAATAATGGTAAACATATTTTGTGGTTTATTTATCAACAAAATTTCCAAACAATAACATTCTTTTCATAAGTGCATGATTCCAATCCCAGACAGATTATCCTTATGATTTGAAAATGAGAAAGCATTTCAATTGGGCTTTGATGATCCAAACTTTTTTTTTTTTCAAATTGATTTGAATGGCTTAAGTTCATAGTATTAATTTTGGGCAAATATGTTTAATTAATTATACATAAATACTTAATGGCTTTGATTACAAATACAGGAAAGTTAAATCCAGCTATTTAAGTACCCAAAAAAAAATATTCCATGGGTTTGTTAATCTAATTTTAATGATGAAAGAGCTTGTTTAATTAAGTACGTAGAAGCTACATCACACATGTACATAATTAAGGGTATTAATTAGAGTGTTCATGCTTTTTTCCCAATTTCCTATTTTTCCATGATTTAAAATCACTATCAAATTATTTAGTAGTATATTAATTATAGAATTTATATTTAATAAATTGTTATATTCTATAATATGTATACGTTGTCACTTAATCATAGAATATCATTTCATAAATGTACAAAGATAAAAATTCACAAATCCTTTTAAAATAAATAATTTTAAAATTATGAATATTTAATTTTAAATATTTTTAATGATAACATTTGATTCACTCATAATGTATAATATCTATGCATTAATAATGTATCAAATATAAATCCCATTAACGTATTCATGCAACACAAATGGGGGAAACAAAAATATAAATTATCAATGTCATAAACAAAAGGATCATAGGGTATATAATAATTATTGAACAAAGTAAATGAAATTAAAAAATATTGGATGTTGCCCTTTCAACTTTGGTCTTCATGACCTTAACTAAACAAAATTTAATTAATAGTAATTAACAAAATGGGTATTTATTTTCAGTGCATAAAGGCCAGGCTTTATTCTTATAAAATTAAAACATTTAATATAACTATAAAGATTCTACAAAGCTTTTGGAGTGAAAATCTTTTATGGATGTCTAAAAGAAAATTAAAGGAATAACAAATTAATTCTAATAATAATGCTTAAGATGCATTTCCTTTTCCCAGGTACTTCATAATTTATGAAACACAAATGATTAATAAACAATTTAAGCTACCTAACCTATGAGCTAGGATGTAAATGTAGAATGTTTTTTCACTAGTCATTTTCCTTGACAGTACAAGTACCATAGTGAAATTTATAAATTACTTACCATACTAAATTTATTTGACAAA